GCAGTTCTTCTTGGCTCTCTCTGGTGGACTCCTGTGAGAATACACAACACAACTCTGGTTCCCTGACACAAARATGTCAGCGGAAAGGAAACAAATTCAAGGAGGCAGAGTAAAAAAGTGAAATATTTATTTCACAAAATGTGCTGGGATCGCTGAGAGGGTCTTCAATTCAATTTCAAATTCAATTGAATTTAGTTTATTTATATAGYACCAAGTTACAATTATTGTCTCAGGGYACTGKACACAAAAAACATTAAACTTAAAGCCAGACCCATGTGAGYAAACAGGTATTTTTACAAATAACAAAGCAGCTGAGAACTACACTCAGTGGTACAGTATGTGATGTTGATCTGAGCAGTCTTAGAAAACCAAGGAGCTCGTCCATCCGTTCGTCCGTTTTCTCTTATCCGGTGTCGGGTCGAGGGGGCAGCAGCCTGAGCAGAGAGACCCAGACTTCCCTCTCCCCAGCCTGCAGCTCCTCTGGGGGAATCCCAAGGTGTTCCCAGGCCATACATAGTCCCTCCAGCGTGTCCTGGGTCTTCCTCGGGGTTTCCTCCCTGTGGGATGTGCTCGGGACACCTCTCCAGGGAGGCGTCCAGGAGGCATCCTAACCAGATGCCCGAACCACCTCAACTGACTCGTCTCGACCTGGAGGAGCAGCGGCTCTACTCTGAGTCCCTCCCGGATGACTGAGCTTCTCACCCTAAGGGAGAGCCCAGACACGCTGCAGAGGAAACTCATTTCAGATGCTTGTATTCGCGATCTTGTCCTTTCGGTCACTAGAATCAGAATCAGAATCGTTTATTGTCATTCACACACAACATCAAGATTTGCAGAACGAAATTTGCAGTTTAGACTACGCAAAGCTTGTGACCATAGATGAGGGATGGAACGCAGACCGACCGGTAAACTGAGAGCTTCACCTTTTGGCTCAGCTCCTGCTTCACCAGGGAGCTCAACAAGAGAAACCTGTTATTATCCACTGCCATCCAATCACAGAACAGCAGGAGCTGAAAAAAGTTGAACTCCTACATTGGCTTTAGCCTATAGTTTGGTTCTGTGTGTGGTTAGATTTTATAAGAATATTATAAATATTATAAACATATATTATAAATAGGCATATTGTGGTTGTCACACAGAACAATTCATTAAATGTTGGTAGGTGACCTGACAGTCGGAGGCTTACTTTTATTGATGTCATACTGTAACAGCCAGTCAGCATCCAACAGAACTTTGTTCTCTGCAGTTGCACACATCCGTTTGCATGATCTCAAACTCAAAACTCGTGTGCCAATTGTGGCCTCACCACAGCAGTAAATGTGGCCTGTAAGACCACCAAGGGTTTAATAATGTCTTAAAATATTTGTGGATAAAATTAATCAGACAGGCACGTATCTTTCTGGCTTGGATTTCTAATTTAATTTTGAGAAATAATTAAAATTCCATTTAAATTTGTCAAAATAGCGGACAAACACCGAACAAAACATTACACAAGAAACTAAGTAGATAAGCTGTTTACATTGTTTATTGAGAGAACTTCTTTGTGGGGTGAATTCATTTTGTTTTAGGTGTGGCTCTTGTGGACTGGCCGTGCCTGACTGTGAGTAAAATTCTCTTACTTTTACTTTTAATTGTACTTCTTTATTATGTGTTTCACATTTGGTCAGTTGTACACAGATGGTGTCAAACAAGCTGTTGTTTATCCGTTTATGAGAGAGAGAAAAAACATTTTAACACTGTATGGTTAAAAATGACATTTTAGATTAAAATTCAATAGTGTTTTTAACACAGGACTTGAATAAAATTCTTTTAAAAAGGAAAATTCACATCACAGAAATGTTAATGATTCTTTTTAAATATATAGTATAATGAATCAAAGATTTAAACAGACTGTCATGTCAGCATTACGCATGATAAAGGCTAATGAAARCTAGGACAGTTTGTCTCTGAGAAAGATTTCGGTTCAAGAGAAATCATGACCTGTAGGGTCAAGAGGTCACGTTGGAAGAGAGGTCCTTCTGAAAAAGAACCTGCTTCCTACTCTTATTTCAGTCACCTCACTGCTACATGAGTTAATTTAAATGTTCATGTACAAACTCACAATAGAAAAATCCTGTCTTTGTAATTTGACAGAATAGCACTGCACAGTCCATCCCTGTAGCGCCTGTTCCAAAGGTTAACATTTCAGAACAGCTGATCTGCTCAGTGTAGCCAGCTGGGATTACCCCTCAGAGGACAAACTAAAAGAGGAGGCTCAAAGCACAACCCAGGCTTTAAATCCCAAATCCCACAAAAGCCTGCATGGATTCAAGATTCCAAAATAAAGGTCATCCGTCCAAGCCTGAAAATCTTTTATTTTGTGAGCGAGATGGGAAAACCCAGCCTTTCTATTTAACTTTTCAAAGAGATCTCACAGAACTGAGATTGTTCCTTGCTACAGTCAGTAAGAAGAATAGGACAGGATCTGTGACAATCACTTGTTAACACGGTTTAACACAAACCTTAATCAAAAGTTTAAATTCATGAGGAGAACCGTTTACCAGACATCACAGATGTGATCTGTCAGGTACTCTACACGACTAATCTGCAGACATCAAACCTTCATTTTTCATGAAGGTGGACAAGAATTTATTTTTCACCTTCAGCTCCAACTTTATCTCTTTTCAGCTTCATTCCAACTGAAAAGAGTACAATCATTATGATTTTGTGAAGAAACTGTACATTTTATTCTTTTTCGTTCCACTAACTTGTTTGTTTTCATGCAGCATTAAATACTAAACATAGCCTGACCTTGGTTCTGTGTTTTTTATGCACTATTTATATTTATTTCTGTATTTTTGAATTTGATRCTGTTGTCAGAGTGACAACTGCTGCTGTGACCAACGACCGACCGTCTGTCTATCCATCTGTAGGAAAAATACGCCTCATTCCAAAATGGTACGTCCAAATAAACAGGACTCCACTGGATTTCTTTTTAAAACTTTCTCAATCTTCTGACTCCARTCAGGTTCACAGTACAGCACTCAGCAGGCCTCAGTGTRAGACCTTGGCTGAAAACAAAACACAGGAGCCCTGCTCTGAGCAGAGACTCTGCAGCACACTAACAAATTCTTTTGAAAAYACTTYTCTGCTATAATAATGAWTTGATCTTATAATGTACATYTCTTCCTGGTTCCACCCCTGGAGGTGTACCTTTTACATCAGACATAAAACATAACTCATTTTTTAGGCTAAAGAAATGACATGACATGACATACACCAACTCTTATTCTGTTTAAACTTACAGGCTGAAATGATCAGAAAGTACAACCCCTGGCAAAAAGTATGGAATCACCAGTCTTGGATGAGCACTCATTCAGACATTTCATTCTGTAAAACAAACTCAKATCAAAAACATGATACAATAATAAGGTCATTCCAAAGTGCAACTTGTTGGCTTTCAGGAACACTCAAAGAAATGAAGAGGAAACATTGTGGAAGTCAGTGAATGCTACTTTTATTGACCAAGCACAGGGAAAAGAAATATAGAATCACTCAATTCTGAGGAAAAAAGTATGGAATCATGAAAAACAAACAAAAGACCATTCAAAACACATCACTAGTATTTAGTTGCACCACCTTTGGCTTTTATAACGGCTTGCAGTCTCTGAGGCATGGACTTGATGAGCGACAAACAGTATTCTTCATCAATTTGGTGCCAACTCTCTTTGATAGCAGTTGCCAGATCAGCTTTGCAGGTCGGAGCCTTCTTGTGGACCTTTTTGTTTTCAATTTTCACCACAGGTTTTCAGTTGGGTTGAGATCTGGACTATTTGCAGGCCATGACATCGAGTGAATGTGTCTTTCTCCAAGGAATGACTTCACTGTTTTTGCCCTATGGCACAATGCATCTTGGAAAAT